CTTATTTGGGCTCATGTTTTTAGTCCATGGCAACTTGATCACACTGCTCTGGCCTATGGTGGTGCAGTACATCATGGCAGGAAGGTGTGGCATAGATGACTCCCTCTGCATGCAGTCAGGGAGCAAAGGAAAAGCAGAGGTTCCCAAATCCCCTTCTAGGGCTTGCCCCCAGAAACCTAATTTCCTCCTGCCTGACCCTACCTCTTAAAGCTCCCTTATTTTTTAGCAGCACCAGAGACTGATACTGAAGTCTTTACCACCTGAGCCTTTGGGGGACCTTTAAGATCTAAACCATAACAATCTCATGAGGCTGATGGCTGACCAGCCCCGGTCCACTCCACATATGCAGGCTCAGACTCCAGCCCGGGTTGTGTGAGTCCTTGTCGTTTGTGTCTTATCACTCAGAGACTGGTTCAGGCGAGGGTTACATCTGTACCAGGCAGAACTATTGTGGGTGCTGGCGGCCAAGACAACTACAGTCGGTGGGGTTATTTTAATCTTCATCTTCTGCATGACATCTAGGGTTTCTTCCGGTGGTTTATTCAATGCATCCATCTTTAGCTCAATCTGCTGTATATATAAAGTGACAGAATAATGTGAAGGACAATTTAGGCTCCACTAGTATCTTATACATGCCTCTCTTACAGTGCTTATCACATTGTACTACAATTCTTTGCTTACACATCTGTCTTCACCACTTGGCTTTGAATTCCTCCAGGCCTTTGGCTCTGACGTCACTTGTCCCAGCATTCTCCTTCCTTCTGTGGACCCAGCATGTTCTGAGCACAGTATGAATGAGCTGGCTTTTTAGTGAAGCTCAGGAGACTGGTATACCTACTATTCACACATTCATTTATTCAACACAAATGTTTCTTATAGTTATTTAGTTTTGAGCTCATAAATATAAATTATATACATTTATGGTATATATACAGCATGAGGTTCTGAAGTATGTACACACTGTGGGATGACTAAAGGAAGCTAATTATCATATACTTTATTTCACATATTTATTTTTTATGGTGAGGACGCTTAAAATCTCTTAGTAATTTTCAAGAACACAATTCAGCCGCTATTAACTTGTGAACTATGTCAGAGCCACTATGATTCACAGTAGATCTCTCGAACTTACTCTTTCAAACTGAAATTTCTCATTCTCTAACCAACTTTCATCAGCCCATCTCTACTGCCAGCCCCTTGTAACTGACACCATATTCGTATTCTCTGCTTCCACACATTTTGCTTTCTAAAGATTCCTACGGTAAGTGAAATCATGTAATATTTGCTTTTCTGTACCTGTCTTATTTCATTTTACAGAATGTCTTCCTGTTTCATCTGTGTTGCAAATGGCAGAGCATTTTTAAAGCTGAGTACTATCCCAGGGTGTAGATGGCCTAAAACACAGTTTCTCTATCCCTCCACCGGGAAACGTCCCCCGGTGGTCCCGTATCAGAGCTGTTGTGAATAACACTGTGATAAACATTGGGAGTGTGCTTAGCTCTTTGATGTGCTGACTTCATTTCCTTTGGTTGTATATGATTGGTGAGATTGCTGGACCATGAAGTAGTTTTACTTCTAATTGTTTGAAAGATCTCTGTATTGTTTTCCATAATAGCTTTAATAAGTTACATTCCCAGCGCAGTATTGCAGTGTTCCCTTTTCTCTACATCTTCAACAACACTTGTTATTAATAACAGCCATTATGGCAGCGGGGAAGCAGTATCTCTTCATGGTATTACTGCATTGCCTTGATGATTTGATGATTAGCACTTTTGAACATTTTCTCATATACCTGTTAGTCACTTGCAGATCTCCTTTTGAAAAACATCTAATACCTCAGTTCACCAGCACTTCTATTTGCAAACAAAAGCATTTTTCAAAATTCTGCTTCCGTTTGCAAACTATGCATCGGGTGATAAACAGGACCATGGTATCTTCCCCATTAAACACAAATGAAGCCATCTTCCTTAAAATTGTAAGACAAATTAACTTTATAAACCAAGGCACCACTGTATTTAGATCCTCTGTGCATTTTTTAATTGAGTGACTTAGTTTCTTGAAGTGTACAGACTTTGTGCGCAGCAGTCTTCCAAGCTCTAGGAATTCAAACGTAGTACCTATGAGCCCTAAGAGATAGTTACATTTGAAGAAGATGAATTCCTCATAATGAAGCAAACTGTGGAGATGCTCAGGGTATTATGGAAGATGTGAGAAGGCTTTTAAACATGGCCTGGCTGAGGAGAGCTCAGGAAATGGTTCCTAGAGAAGAAAACGGCTGGGATGCATTTTGGAGGATGCTTCTGAGCTAACCAATCAGAATTTGCTGAGGAAGACCTTCGTGGAGAGGAGACAGGAGGAGGAAGACGGTGTGTGTATGTGTGTATGTGTGTATGTATGTATGTGTGTATGTATGTGCGCACATGCATGTTTGTGTGTGTCTGTGTCTCTATGCAGGGTGACATGCCAATGTGGTTGGTATTATTGTCATTTTTGTATTATTGGAGGAATGTCAGGTGTGAGAAAAAAGATGAAGGCAGAGAGAGAGAGTACCAAAAACAAGTGGCAGAGGGCAGTTTATGGCAAGTAATGAACACAGATATCATGCTGTAGGTGGCATTGATGTAATAAAGGGACATAAGCCAAGGACAAACATGATGCTTTAGAAAGAATTACCCCTGACCTTGTGAGGAACAGAATGGAAAATAAAATCAAAATCTAGAAAACCAATTAGAAAGACGATTGCTATGGCACTGTGGGAGACAGAGGAAACTCGATCCAGGGTAGTTGTGGAAGGGTTGCAAGACAGGGACAGGGACATGGGAGGTGACTGGTGGGACTCGGAGGGTAATGGGCCATGAGTGTGGTGGTGAAAACCTAAAATCCCAACACTCTGGGCTGCTGAGACAGCAGGATTGCAATAAATGAGACCTTGTCTCAAAACTAAAAAAATAAAATGTCTAAAGGGCTAGGGATGTATCTCAGTGTGAAAGCCCTGGATTCAATTCTCCAGTACAGAAAAAGAAAAAAGGAGATCACAAGAGTTTAGAAATTACATATTTTTTATATACACATCTTCCTATGCTGTATTACCTGGTGCTATTTATTAAACTAGTTGGATTCCAATGTCAAACACTGAACCTCTTACAAATAAAATTGAATATCGTATGAATACTTAGGTGAGGTCTCATCTGTGGGCTTTGGGCAGATGGAGAGAAGAGCTGTAGTTGGTGGAAAGCCAGGCTCTGCACTGGGCCCACACATTTCAGAGACGTGGCCCTTCTCGTCCTTTCCTCTCCCCCTTTGCCTCAGTTTTACCCTGTACCAATGCTTTTGTGTAAATCTACAACGATGTCTAAAATGAGGCATGCGGTCCTGTTCCAGGCTGGCACCTGATTTCAAAACTTCTGACTCTTTTCTGAATTTTCCGATGGACAATGAAGATATAAAAGCCAGCGGGGCAGGGAGGGTACTGAGAAGGGAAAGTGCATCATTTCTATCACTTCTTTGTAGTTAGTGCACTGCTTATCAGTGCAGGCTGCGGCTCTGCCTCTTGACGAGCTGCCGAGCGCGTCCTTTAGCAGCCTGGGCTTGCTCATCTGACAATGGTGACAACTCACTGGCCTCACAGTGATGTTCAAGGGTCAGATGAGTGAACCTATTAAAGCACTTGGAGCAGTGTTCGGCAGACAAAACCCTTAAACTATTAGCTGCCAGTCTTATTCGTAATTTGAGCCCAGACTGTGGTGTTTGGTCAGGGTTATGTCACCCATGTTCCAGTAGTTTTTGCTTTGGAAAGGATTTGCTGCGGTCTAAATGTTTGTATCCAAGGCTTCGAGGATGTGGTTATGTGATGAGGGAAAAGCCCTCATGTATGAAATTCTTGCCCTTAACAAAGAGGCCCAAGAGAGCTTGTTGGCTTTTTTCTCTAGGGGCGGACACAAGGATGAGACAATGGTCATCTATGAATCAGAAAGTGGGCTCCCACTGGACACTGAATCTGCCTTGGTCTTGGACTTCCAACCTCTAGAAGTATGGAAATTTGTTTCTGTTGTTTAATAAGCCACCCAGAGCGCAGTGTGTTCTTAAGCGGTCCCAACAGACTAACTCATGGTTACCATGCAAACCTTGACTTGCTGGTTCACCCCATTTGCAGAGTCCATGGACTCTTAGGAGAGTGGTTTATTTCTGTTTTTGCTTTGCTCTCCTTGTTTACCCCATGACTCTTTCTCCCAGTCCCTGAGAGCCCTGTTGAAATCATCCATGGCACCAACTGCAGCCTTCCAGCAGCATATTGGGAGCCTTGCTCTGAAGAATTTGCTCAACCCTTCAACTTAGTTGCCCGGGGAAACCAGCCGGTGATGTCACAAGGCATCTCATTTCCAGGTCTCCCTTGGTGCCCTCTTTGTTGAGGCTGAGGCAGGACTCAGTCCTGTGCTCGCCCAGCCTGGCTGTGTCTCTTGGCCGCCAGGATGGTGCTGAGACACTGGGTCTCTTCCGGCTCCACCGGCACTCAGGTATGTGGGCAACTTCTTACCCTTCTTCCTTCTGAGCCCAGAAGTGCCTGTGGAAATAGTGTCAGGTCAGACTCGGGTAACCCTTCTTTCTCTAGTGCAAAAGAACAAAACTAAAGCAAGCGTAAAGAAAAGTCCCTGGGCCTAGAGGACCAAAGGTTGTTTCAGGGACCTTGGGAGAAGATCTTTGCTTTTCTTCAGACCCTAGACACACCCAGTTGTCTCCACCTTTTGCCTTATCAACCTGCAGCTCATTCTCAAAAGAGATAATATTGGAATTGCCTGTTCTGCTCTGATAAAAAGATAGGAGGGCCATGGCAATACTTTCCTATAGACTTTGTGGGTGTTTCATAATAGGTTCCTTTAACTGTGCCACTGCCCCAGTGCCTAGTCAAATAGTGCAAAGTGCAACCCTTGTTTCAAACCTTCTTTCAAGCTCACCACTGAAACTAGTCAATCTGCAGATTATCTACTGTTATCTAAACACAGGTGTCTGCAAACCAGCAACAACCCTTTCACCCACATTGAAAAAGAACCTAATAAAACAGAAGCAAACTCCAGCCCAGGTTGGAACTCTCACTCCCAAAGGGATGTGTTTTACAGCTCTGCGGCCTGCGTAGGACTTGAACCGTGACTACACAGGAAGGGTGTGACTGGACATATCAGCAGTGGCCTGGGCAGAGGTAGCCGTGATGGGGACTTCAACGTGTCTGTACCACTTCATTCTCTTGAACTGGTACATTTTCCTCAATTATTACATCCCGCAGCTTGGAGCTATCTTTCAAGATGGTGCACAGTCGAAGTACTTGACTCTCCTCAATCTGGTGAGTCTAAAAGCTCATTGGGGAACCGATATATCTGTAGTATCAGTGTATCAAGTTTGTACTTTATTCAGTATAAAAATCCATTCTTTGTGTTCCTCTATTGTTGGAGAGTTTTGCTCCCTTCCTAAACAGGGCATGCTGAGAAGACAGTTTAGAAACTATCCATGGCTGCATTTTTGGACTGGCTAATTGTTACATGGTCTTTTGAGAAGAATTGCCTTGGAGCCTGATAGAGGGACCAAATGAATAGTTTCACCTTGGAACTGACTACAGACAGGAGAGATTTTGAGACTAGCTTGGGAAAGTCTGTGAAGAGAAGGCAGAGAGGCGTATGTTGTGTAGGAAGTGTGATTTCCAATGGAGGAATAACGCCATTTTACAGCACACATAGACTAACAGATTTATCTAAGAAAAGCAAACACATTTTGCCATGTTCAGCTCCCACCTCAATTTTTTATAGGCTTGAGCTCTACCTGAAAGCACAGATCACCCAACAGAATGATAGCAGATAAACATTTTGGACTGTTTAAAAGCCAATCTGATAATCCCTAATGCCTAATCAAAAGCCAAATTCCATTCTATCTCACACAGCTGTGGCTAAGCACGGATCTGTCACCTACTCGCATAACCCAGCTCTCTGATTTCTTATTTGAGTTCCCTCACATGCCCAAGAGCTTTTGAACACTTGACCATATCCTGAGGTTGAGCTCGTTTTTGGCTCAATGGTAATCAACCTCCTCTTCAACCTTTCCATCCCATCCAATCTGAACTGCCTCTCCCACTCCAGGGTCAGCACCTCAGTCCTTTCCTGTGCCCTCCCTGTCCGATCCATCCATTTACCACTCACATTCCAGATTCATCTTCCAAAAGCTCAGTATTTTCATGACCTCTTTTTCCAATAAACTCTGCTGATTGAGAAACTCTGTTGGCTCTCTCCTGCTTTATGGAACAAATCCCAACTCGTGATTTTGGAGCTTATGCTGACACTGGTTTCTCTCTCCCCAGAAGGCTGGTTGGTCCTGCACAGAGGACTGTATCTCCTCACTACTGTTCTGTGGGCTTCCTTGCCTCCATAAAATGTCTCCTTCACCAACCACCTGAAACCTTCCACTTTTCCTAAAAATCTTTACTGACAAATTTCAGTCCAAGTTTGTTTTCTTTCTCTGACTTTTTAGAACACCTCCTAGTTACTGTTTATCTATGGAGCACAGTTTTGTCAATCTTTCTCCCCCATGTGAGTCCTAAACTTCCAGTCAGAGCCTGGCTCAAATACAGAAGTTTCTCCTCCCAGGTCTTTGTCAACCCTAACAGTTTACAATTCTACATTGTATTTGCCACGCAGGGCCCCAGTAATGAACACCTGGTCACGTGGCCTGATGACTTGGCTTGACCTGCATTTCTGAGCAATAAACCTCTGCTGACTTCCGCCTTGATACATGAACAGAAAGGGACTGCTCTGTGGTCATTTCTTAAAAGTGTCATTTGAGAGTCGTTTCCCGCCTGACAAAGATGGGCAGAGTATATTTTAGAGGATCATTTGAGGCTTCAGAATGTCCAGCTCTTGAAGTCTCATGGGCTTATGTTTTTTTTGTTTGTTTGTTTTGTTTTTGCTGACATATATTAACTAATGATTAATTAGTTGATAGTCTGATCAAATCATAGAGGCTTTATAACTTGTTGTAACACTCAGGTATTTATTTTACCTCTTTCGTTTCATTTACCTTGGCTTGATGATGTTAGTATCCTGTTAAACAGCTTTGATTTCTAATTGCCTGATTTTAAGTTAAGTTCCTTTTGTGTGTGCGGTACTGGGGAATGACCATAGGTCTTTCACAGAGCTAAATTCCTAACCCTTTTTAAAATATAAATTTAATTTTTTTGAGACAGAATTTTGCTAAGTCACTAAGCTGGGCTCAAACCTATGATCCTTCCTCCTCAGCCTCCCAGAGGGCTGCAGCTCCAGATGTGTCCCACAACGCCTGACCTGTTATGTCCCATTTTGGAGGAGCAAAACTCATCTTAGGGATCATTCAGTCTTTCTCCCTTGCCTCTCCCCCAAAAAAATACCTCAAGGGATTAAAGAGAAGACAGAAGGGCCCACCTGCAGGGTTGGTGGCTGCAGCACAGAGCCACCAACAGAGCAGTGCCAGTTAAGGAGAGAGGAGCACAGCCTCTGTCTCATGTAGAGTGAGCTGACTCTGACGCTCTGGTACGAGGAGGGAGGAGTGTAGCCAGGTGTCTGCAGCCCCCAGCGACGGGCTTGGCTCTCAGTTCCACCTCACCCCTCTGTGACCTGGGCTTAACACTTGTTCAGGTCTTTCATTTCCACTTCTGTCAAGTAGAAATTAAAATAGTACCTAACCGCAGTGTGGCTGCGAGAGGAACCCACCTGTCAGGTGGGAGACACCGCGGTGGGTGGAGAGAGAAGACGGGAGCAGAGGGAGCGTTGTTAGAGACAGCGCAGCTGAGCAGGGGACTCCCCAGATGCCCATCTCGTCACTGAGCACTGGTTGGGGCATGACGGATCCAGGCAAGGGTCACTGGCCACCTTTGTGCATTATCCTGCCTTGTGCAGCGAGAAAAGAACCCTGCGGGCCACTGTCCTCCCTACAGTAGCTGCCAAGTCGCATGCTCTCATGCCTGAGGTGCTCTGGAGGCACAGTCAACAGAAAGGGAGCCCTGGACACAGCGTGGAGAGCAGGGCACCCCAGGGGACTCATGTTGGTGCAAGCCCTCCAGTGTCTTCCTCCTCTGGCACCAGCCCTGACCCCCGGGGAATGTGAGCCTTGGGAGGCGAGGCGGGAGGTCAGTCAGCCACCGCAGTGCAGTGTGCAGAGCTCGATGGGTTTGTTGAGGTTTCCCCTTGTTAAAAATAAACTTCCTTCTGAAACTCTGTTAGAGTTGGTGCAGCATAACTGGGATCTCCAGGGGAGATTCTGGGTCCCCCTTCCCCCCATTCTCCCCATCCTCACTTTGGCCACAGAGATGAGATATTTCCCTTGGTTCTCCCTCCAGTGGTCCAAGATTCAGGCAGCTCTGATCTCCTCGTTCTCTAAACTCAAGGACGGTGACTCAGGGCCAGGGCAAGGGAAGTCCCGGAGAGACTCCATTGGTTCAAACTCCAGAGCAGCTCCTATGGAGAGAGACAGGGGTCCCCTCTGTACCCTGGAACGCACTTCAGTGCTTGGATGAAAGTGCTTAGTTCTCGCCATCAGATTAATGTAGTAACACAGGCAACTCTTCCCCTTGTCAAACCATGTGACTGTGTTTTAGCTCTCAGATGGCTTACAGGATAAGAGCCAAGAGCACTCTGGGAAGGGTCACCACCAGCTCCTAAAATGAGGTGGCTGGAAAACATTGAGCAACCACGACAGACAGTGTTTGCTTCACACACAGCACGGAGATAAGTGAGGGGAAGCTGAGCCGTCTGCTCTCTGGCTCTGTGACCTGACTTCTCTGTGCCTCAGTTTACCCATGGGTAGTGCTGAAGAACCTGGATCTTCTCACTGCCCCAGCACTGAGGTTCTTACTCCTCAGCTTCCAGGAGAAAGAGGATTAGCTTCCAATGGCTCACAGATGGCTGACCTTCTAGACCTGACCAGCATCAGGAAGCTGTGTCTTCGAGGTCCTGGGCCCTCCTTGAGGCACCCGTGCCCAGTACCTAACTGAGCTGAGTACAGAAGCTCAGCTCTGGGGCAGCTCTGAGGGGTCCATCATGCAATCAGTGAGGACACAAAGGATCTCCTTCCCTCCTCTCCTCTTCTTCTTCCTCCTCCTTTTCTTTCTCTTCCTTTCCTTAGTTCTAACAAGAGACTGAGAGCCAGCCTTGACCAGTGTCATGGGGCCTCATTCAATTTCAGGGGCCTTATTGGCTGCCTATGATGTTGGCTGAGTACCCCGATGATCAGGATGATCAGTTTATAACTGATCTGAGCCACTGCCGAGGAAAGCCCAGCTACCCTGTGACCCACTCTACCTGAAGACATCCTGCCCCTGTCCCAAAGCGTCATCCGCTGCACAGCACCAGCCAGCATCCTTTCTCCAGATTACCCCAGCATATTCTTTTTTTATTTTGCCTGATTGTAAACAATATTATGTTTCTGTTTTAGATTTTCTTATTAGTACATGGTTTGCAGTCCATAACATTTCCATTGCTGACGTGGAGCTGGTGCACGTGTGAAGCATACCATAATTCCCTTTTTCATCTCCTGTCCTTTTCCCCATCCCCTCTTCCCTCCATTGCTTTTTCTCCTCCCTGTTACTCTGTGTTCTTCACACCGTGTCTTCTCCCATGTTCTTTATCTCATTCTTTTACCCCGGGTCCTTCTTCCAGCCAAAGCACAGGAATCGTGCCTGGAATAGCACATCGCACAACGGGGTAGACAGACTGGGAGAAAGCTCCCCATGCCAGCTCCAGAGCACACCAGTCTCTCCACCAGGGTGAGAGACAGCGCTCCCTCCCCATTTGCTCTCCCATTCGGGGGCCATCTGTCATGGCAGGGTTGCTTCATTCTGAAGCAGAGGAGTTAAGGAAGCCCCGGCCTGGCTGAGTCAGGCCCAGAATCTCCAGCTGGAGGTTGGTGGGTTCTTTGACTCATGCAGCTGGAGTTTGTAACGTCTTGCTCAGGGAACTTCTGGACTCTCCCACTCTGGAATAATTTTTTTAATCAAAGAAAGTCTCATTTCCTGGGGGTAATTTAGGAGGGTTCTGGCATTAAGAGGAGACCATAAAGTCAATGATTTAGAAAGGTTACATTTCTATGATTTTAAGATTTGGGGGAGAGATTTGTGAATATAAAAAACTAAAGAATCCTTAGCTACCGTTTCTTGAATTGCATTAGTTATAAAAAATGTAAATCTAGCTGTCACTGGCAGTGAGTTTGTCTGCTAGCAACAGGAGTGTAAGGCAGCTAACAAATTTAGAACAGTAGCATTTCGGGAAAAAGCCCTGAATCCTTCACTGGGGCAGAATCAAGGAAAAACCAGGAGAGATGAGGAATGCCAGCGCCACGGTGCTGAAGTAAACTCTGAACAAGGCGACACAACACAGGAAGTTTGCTCTCCTGGGCACCCAAAATAGTTGAGAGATGAAAATGACAGTAATTTTGTGACACGATTCTTCAGCGCAGACTAGTTGTCGCTATTCTATTTTAATGCTGCTGTGTAGTTTGCTAGGGTTGCCATAACAAAAATGGATGACTTGACAACAGAAATCAATTGTCCCAGAGTTCATTCTGAGGCTGGAATCTGAGACCCAGAGGCTACCAAGACTGATTCCTTTCTCCTTGGCTTGCAGTTGGCGACCTGTCCCTGGGTCCCCACGTGGTCCACCCTCTGGGTGCACCTGTGTCCTCACATCCTCTCTGTTTTTTTGTTTTGGTCTTTTTCGTTTTTATTGGTACCAGGGATCGAACTCATGACTGCCTGCTTGCAAGGCAGGCGCTTATGCCGCTGAGCTAAATCCCCAGCCCCCTCACATCCTCTTAATACAAGAATGAGAGTCATATTGCCTTAGCGCCTACCCGTATTAATTAGCTTAGTTATCTCTCGAAAGGCTCCAGTGGATATTAGGACTTCAATATGTAAATTTGCAGGGGGGGCACACCCAAGCCCAAGCCCACCGCAGCTGACCTTTCCTCCCTGCATTCTTTCTTCTACGCATGTTTTGTACCCATTGCGCTGCATTGTCTCTGGAGAAAGAGCAGGCCATTGTCCATTCAGATAAGCTTGTCTGACTTGTCTTTGACTTCACCTTTCTCCTACCTCCAAAGTCTGTGGCCTGTCACCCTCCCCTGCTTAACCCCTAGGACTTGCTCTGTGCCTCCGTTTGCCCCAGGCCTTATCTATGTCTTTTTCTCAGAAAACCCTAGCAGCTTCCTTGGGTGCCCAGGTAGGGGCTCCCGAAAGAGTCCTTGGATGATCCACCAGTGCAAGGTAGGATTGGTGGCAATGAGGTTCCCTTTCACACAGTTGATATCTGTGGAGCCAGTTGGCACGTTCCTGCAAGATAGTAGCGCATGCAGGGGTTGGGGTGAGGAGGAGGAGGAGCTGTGATTGGTGAGTCTGCATGGGGGAGCCAAATTTGATTGGTGACGAAATTCTGGAAGAGCTGAGTAATGCGGTCTTTCTCCTAACCTGATTTCCACATTCTGTGCCTGGGAAGATCAACAGAAAGCCTGATCTTGACTCACGATGACTTGAAGAAGCTCTGGCATAAGGACAGGAGTCATGTGGACTTCACATGTAGATGAGGCGGCCTCTCCCCTAAAAAGGGAAGGCCTGGCGGATGCTCAGTGTGTGATTAATTTCCATGTTCAGGGAACAACAGAGGCCTCTCTGTAGGGGCCCAGGCCCATGCCTGCTTACCCTGAATGCAGCAGCAGCTTGGCATGGCTCAAGCACCTGGCAGAGAATGCAGGGGTGAGGTGAGAGCTCCCTGGGCAGGGCAGGGAAGAGCAGGAGGCACCTGCTTCTAGCATCCTTGTGCAAGTGACCTCTAGTCCAAATCCTAAAACCCTCAGGGGCTGAATGTCAAAAGCACCAGAGTGATGACTATCGGTGGGTTGGCAAGTCCTGCGTGACATTTAAAACTGTCACCCAGCTCCCCCCACACAGTCTCCTGGTGACAAGATTCCTCTCCTCTTAGGCATCATGTGGTTCTTGTCCAGTTCTGATTTCTGCTGCTTGATCACTCTCTGCTACCTTGGCAGCTCTTTGGATGAGGGTGCTCCCTCTCCCACCACCTCTCACAATCTCAACCCTATGAGGATTCAACTGCCTGGGGTCCATCGGCCAGACTTCTCCAGGGCCTGCCTGATGCGAATTCCAGGTGCAAGGAGCTTCTCAACTTCCACTGCCCAGACTTAGAAGGTGTGGGAGGGTTTTTAAGTATCCCAAAGCCTAGCCTGTACCCCAGAACCATTACTGCAGACCCTCTGGGGCTAGAAAGCAAGGATCAGTATTATTTTAAATTTGTTTTTAATTCTTTCACCTGGATACATCATGTCTCTTCTGACGCAGTGCTTTTCGTCAGTTGTCCTTAGGAATCTGATGATTTTCTAGTTAAAGTCTGGCCCAAGGACCAAACTCCGAAGCTATGAAATGTTAGGCAAGTTTGTTGGTCTCACTTCACCTCACTTTTCTTGTCTGTAAATTGGGGATGGCAGGACTTAATGGTAATGCTTATTTCATAAGGTTGCGATGCCATTGAAAAGCTCCATTTGGTGTCCAGCACATGACACATGGTGAATGTTAGTCATAAGAGAGTCAGGAAGGACTTTGATAAAGTTACTTCTAGTACACTGGTCCTAGGACTTTAGCCTACATGGGGTCACCTGAAGAGATTGTTAAAAAAAAAAAATCACCTCATGCACACTTTTCCTGAGATTCCGATGCCATAGTCCAGAGTGAGGTGCAAGCGATCTGGGTGCTGGGGATCCGGGAAACCAGCTGTATCCTGTCTCATCCCTCCACAGCTCAAGGTCAACTCTGAGAGATCTTTCTGAAGTCCAAACCTTAGCACAACATCCAACATAGTCAGTCACCTCCTCAGCTCTCAAGTTCCAGAACTTTGTGCTTGAAAGCAGAGTCCAGGCTGTCTCTTATCTACGTTCAACAGTTAGCATGGATTCTGATGTGAACACAACTCAGAACCAACCCAAACTTCACATAGCAGTGCCCCCCCCGGGCCTTAAGTTAGAAGCCAGAGATTATGAAAGGCCCTAAGACTGAGCAAAGTTTTTCCTTCCAAGTCATGTTGCAGGTTGTGCATCTAAATCCAAAAGCCTGACATTTGAAATGCTTCAAATTCCAAAACTTTTGAGCATTGATGTGATGCCTGAATGGAAAATTCCACACCGTGAAACTCAGTTCCCTGCACAAAATTATTTACAAATATTGTACAAAATTACCTTCTGGTTATTTATAGGAGAAGGACAATACTTGAACAAAGATGAATTTTGTATTCAGACTGACATCCCATCCCCAAGATGTTTTACTGTGTATGTGAAAATGTTTTAAAATCTGAGATACTTCTGGTCCAAACATTTTAATAAGGAACACTTAATCTGTACTTCTTTAAAAAAGACTCGGCTTCTCTTTTGCTTCTCCTTGAGGATCTGACAGTACTGAGCAGCTCACCAGAGCCTGGGCTCATCTGCTCTGTCCTCTGGACCCCTCAAGTGGTACGGCGGTCTTCCCTGGCTCTTAACCCCGAGGCTGACTTTCTTAGTGAGACTTCTGCCCTGGGCCTTTTGCTTAGTTTTCTTCCTAGGAAGCCACTTAACTATTTCCACCCTTATGCCTCACTATTTGGTTTCTGCTGTTTGGTTTTTCCCACTTCTGTGCAGCCAAGGTATCTTTCATCTAATTCTATCCTCCATTTTAGCTGAGTCTTTATTTTGTTTCCATTTTAGCTTAAGTCCATTACACTAAATACTGTACACATTAAGATCCCCTAAATGAATTTCCTCAATCAGTTTTAGCGAGCTAGGGCAGGAACCAATGAGCCAGAAGCCCGGGCTTTGAATCTGGCTCTCCACCAGAACAGCCTAGCATCTCTCTCCTTCTCGAATCAGCATTGGTCCCAGAGGGCTGGGGCTTTACATCAGTGAAGAACGTATTAATTAAAGCAAATGAAAGTGCCCTCATTTGTTGTAATGAATTTAGCTCTTGCAGGCTGTTTTCTTCGGGGTCGCCTTCCTGGATGATGTGCTGAAAAGAATCAAAAAGAGGAAAGACATCAAGTTCATCACTGCCTTCAGAGACCTGTTTTTTGCCACCTTGGCTTTTCCAATCGGCACAGTAAGTCACTGAGATGCTGCGTCTCCCATAACAGAAATGTATGAATGGGAAGTGCTTTATGGGGCTGCAAGACTGCTTGGGAATCCATTATTGTAGCCAGACTTGCTAAGTGTTCAGTCTGAGAGCTTCACTTTGGTGTCCAGGGTGGACAGGAAGCATGTATATTACCAGTCAGCTTTATCATTCAGTTTTGTATCTTTGGGAAGGCTTGGTGCAAGGCCCGTATTACCGCCTCAAAGGGAATTTTGAAGGACTCTTCTTAATAAAACAGTTGACCCTTCATATCTGTTGGGTTCATGACCACTAAATCAACCAACCATGGGTCAGAAATGCTCACATAAATAAATAAATGTAAAACCATCTTCATAAAAAATTTTAAAACTGACACATTTTTTTCATAACTATTTAAATAACATGTGCATTGAAAGTAACCGAAGGGATAGTTTAAACTACAGTAGGATGTACATGGGTTATATGCAAATCTTAGGCCATTTTATACAAGAGTCTTGGACATTGATGGTTGGTATCCTTGGGAACCCATCCCCCATGGACTCTGAGGAATGACCAACAACTAAGTGATGATTTCCCTTTACACATCTTGTTTTCTTTGTTATAATAAGTTTATGCTACCTCTACAAATGGAAACCATCCATAAGAAAATAAAATGAACAAAAGATACGAGACTCAAAGTTGGCACATGAGAAAGACAGTCAAGGCACTTAGTGGGCACCTCGTTCACTGGGCTGAATGAATGGACATCGGGAAAAAGCAAGGCGTATGCCGGGGACAGGATGCTGGCAGCTGCTGCCAGCCATGTGTCTGTGCAATCATCGCTGTCTCCCTTCACTGCCTGGAATGGAAATACACTGAGGTCAAGCCTGCTGGCTGCCCGATGGGACCTAGGGTTAGAAATCACTACCTTCATCCACCTGTCATTGTCCTGCTTCCTGTGATCTTCAAAACTAAACGCAAAATGGGTCCTTGCAAAGGCTAACAGGTTCACAGCTAACAGAACCAGCTCTGGCATTCCAGGTTTGCTTTGCAGAAGACCACCCCCTTAAAGCCTTCCAAAGATTAAATTTTTCTAACAAAGAAGTTCATTCCTTTTTTAAGGTTAGGAATTAAGCCTACGAAATTTCAGAACATAGGAAAATCATAAGATTAATCGCTACCTCCCCCCACCCTGTGTGGGCACTGACTTTGTAACACAAAGGACAGAGCTTCTGACCAGACATCATGGAGAACAAGAAACAGAGATGAATGCAAAGTTCTGAGTGGGTAGAGATGGATGCTTGGTGAGGTAGCTTGTGAACAGTCCCGGAAGCTTGACCTCTCATGTCCTCTCCCAGCCTTCTTGTAATGCCTCTGTGTGTGTGTGTGTGTGTGTGTGTGTGTGTGTGTGTGTGTGACTAGGGAATTGTCTTAGTTTTCTCTCAATCTTGAGATAAAATACCTGACACCCAAAAATTAAGGAAGGAAAGATTTATTTAGCTCACAGTTTATGGAGGTTTCAATCCATAATCAGCTCACTCCAAGGCAGCATGGCATGGTGAGGGGCAACAGTTCCAGCTGGCTGAAGACAGCAGAAGCAGCAACAGCATAAACGGGGAAAACAAGCTTCTCCTCCTCCTTCATATCATAAGCAGGCTGCCCGCCCTCTAACATGGATGTAGCATCACACCAATCCATGTCCTCCTCTTGCCCAGAATGAGGATGTTTACAAAGTGAGAACTCTGGCTCCCTGCTAAATCCCTAAGTTAAACTCCTAAACGTCTCAGACTGACACAATGCATCCATCGTTACCAGGACCGAACCCAGGACCTTCTCACTGAGCTGTATCCCCAGCCCTTTTTATTTTTTATTTTGAGACAGGGGCTTACTGTGCTGCTAAATTGCCCAGGCTGAGATTGAACTTGTCATCCTCTTCCCTCAGCCTCTTAGAGTGCCGGAATACAAGCATGTGCCACTGCACCAGGCTGCCACACCCATTTAAAGTGGGCAGTCAACTTGGAAGCCATTCCATGTGCCAAGTCTTGGTGTTCTTGGTAAAAGCTTAGAAGAGAAGTCACTGGTTACGATCCTGGACTAACTGTCCATGCTCCTGTTTCTCTGTACCTTCTCTCCCTAGCATGCTGAAAAATAACTGTTCCCCACCTCTCTGAGTGGTGTCCCCAGAGAGAGCAGCTAGAGCAACCATACAATAAACATTATCTCCCCTTTTACAGTCCCACAATGTGAATGTATCTAAGATATTAAAACAGGTATCTATTTTTAGTCTACTATGTTTCCTTGATTGTCTTAGGAGAATTCTTCTTGCAAACAAACTTAACAGCCCTGTTTTGGTCTTTTACTTTCCAGTTTGTGTTTCTGGCATTCTGGACCATATATCTCTATGATCGAGAGCTTATTTACCCCAAGACCCTGGATGGCATTTTTCCAGTGTGGGTGAATCACGCAATGGTGAGTGAAGGGGAAATTCAATGAATGCAGAGCGCCAAAGCCTTGGTATAGAGAACCTCAGCTTCCTGGCACCCCCAACATCCACTTCACTCCTGCCCAACTCTGCTTTAGGGCAGGAAATCAGCGGAAACCAGTACTGTACTGACGGAGTCTTCTGACAGCAGAGGGAGATGGGGTCCAGATAAGACTGTCACCTAGCTTAGGAAGTCAGTAAAAAGTCAGAAGGCCACGGAATTTTTGGGTGGCTTCAGTCCTGAAAGGGAAGCAATTGTCACAAATAACAAGTACGTAATGAAATTCCTTGGTAGGACCTGCGTAAAGCAAGCATTCTCAACAAGTTGAACTCCAGCAGGGCTCCTTAACTGTTGCTTCTTCAGGGCTGAGCATCACAGATGAGATGCTTATTTACCTAGTTCCATGAATATATTGCAATTTGGTTTTTATTTTTATTTATCCATGTGTTCTTGAGGGGGTAAATGCTGTGTTTCCTTGAAAATAAGACCTACCAGAAAAATAACCAACATTAGAAACTAAAGATCAAACATTCCAGCCCAATCAGACTCTCCTTGCCTTACTTGGTTTACAGCATAGCCAGTGAGCAAGAGAAGAGTGAGGTGTAATCTTCTGCAGGACACTGGCTGTCACCGCGGTAATGACCAGCTAGGGCTTATTTTCCATTTAGGTCTTATTTTCAGGGAAACACGGTAGCAAACAGCATCTGTTCAGGGATGTTCAGTCCGCTGGAACTGGCAGGGCAGTCGCACCGGCCCAGACACACAGGGTTGGAGCAGTGTGTCTCAATTCCCATTGGAGGACTGAGCCTGAATTTTAGAGGCTTTATGTGCCAAGAGATCATCCAAAATCCTAGGTCAGCTTCTCAATACTTACAACGGTGTTTCCTCATTAGTCTGAGGTTTATAAAGCAGAATCAATTCTGGGAAGCAAATGACTATTTAAAATTGGGGGAAATCACCCAGGCATAGCGTATCAAGGCTCTGAGTTCATTCATAGACTTTCTTCTGTCCCGAAACACTTCGGTAGAGTCTTAAAACTCTAATGATGACCAGGAAAAGCAACTCAATATACTAACACTGCTCCCTTCCTCTTTGTGTCCCAAGAAAAAAACTCTCAGAGGGGAAAAAAAACTACTTTCAGTTAAACATCTGTTCCAATTACTGACAAATGTATCACAGTTCTGATCCTATGTAGTATTCAGGACCAGACCGATGCATTAGATAAGCCTCACCTCTCAGAAGTCCCTCCTACCAGCCTCTTGTCTTCCTAACTCCCCAACATCCACAGGAATCTGAGACTCCCACCTGGGAAATATTTCTTGCTTTTTGGTAATGGTACAATATACCGCACAATGCCTGCTTTGCTGGCATGAGCTCCTTTAATTCATGCAAGCTTCTTTTGATAACTGTGATTCTCTTGATTTTAGAAAAGCTAGCTAAGACAGAGTGACTGACCCGCATGGGCCTCTTCCATCAAGGACAGGACAGCCAGGATAGTCACCCAAGGCTAATTATGCTCTTTGTCCCTTTTTGCTAAAATTTAATCCAGAAATTGTGAATCGATCTAGTTTACAATCAATCAGGCAATCAAAAGCATGTCACTTGATTAATTAATATAGAAGAGTGAGAATTTTCATTTTAAAAAGCCATTAAAGTCTCCATCAGTATGCTACGTCAAAATGCTGAGGAAGTGAAGTGATTTGCAACAACTGGCTAACCTAGATGTTATTAAAATAATAAACAAAGGCAGCATCACAAAAGTGCCTTTTATTTAGGCCCAGACGTGTTCAAACATCTTGCCAAGGGGATCTATTTTTCACACTGATGTATCATTGGATTTCTTCCAAATAGTTTTGGTGGCAATACCCAATATTTGTGACCTTGCTAAATAAACAGCCATATGGATTGCTGATCATTTTGAAGCAGAGAGCTGGATACCGTAGACCACATCCATGAGCTAATTAGCAAGACAGATATTGTACAATCGAGATCCTTAAGGCTTTTCATGCTGTTGCAGCCTGGGAGGGTCAGGTGCTGGTAATCCTGCCCATTGTCCTTCTGAGCAAGAGTACTTCAAATGCCTTAGAGGAAAAAGGCCAGAGTCAGTGGAGATGGGGTACTGATGACCAGGAGAAGACAGAGCCCGCTTTGGGTCAGACACAGATGCATCTGTTTCTTTTAACTTAATTGAAGAAACTCCCAACAGAGCCATCTTTCGGAAAATCTCAGTATTGGCAAAACCAGCGTGGGGAGTCCCTGATGCAGTCATCGCCAAACTTCTGCTTCTCTTCAGTATCTGCTCCAAAAAAGAGAATATATTCCACGCTACTGCTCATCCCTGTCTCACAGTCTCCTCGACCCTGGACATTTGCTGTCTTCACTGTTGAATCATCCAGGTCTATTGCCTGAGGAATGCTCTTTTCCATGCACCTACTAATACTATTATTGCAGAAGTGACTGCTCCTGCGAGTCCCCCGGACTCAAGTGCCCCCCAAAGGCTCGTGGATTAAAGTTTAGGGGGTGGTGAAATCTTCAAGAGGCGGGGCCTGCTGACAGGAAGTTGCGTCACTGAGGACATGCCCTTGGAAGGGAAAGGAGGGTCCCCAGGTCTCCTCTTCATCTATTTTTACTTCTGGGATATAAAGTGAGAGGTTTCACTCCTCTGCATATGCCTTGCCTTGCTATGCTGCCTTCCAATGAGCCCATCGGCAATGGGACCAGTCAGTCATGGACAGGAACTTACAAGGAGCAAAGTGTTTCCTCTGCATAAATTGATTATGCCAGGGATTGGTTATGGTAATGGAAAGCAGACAAGCACTCGGGGTCAGTGTCTTCACAATTCCCACATCTTACCAATGCCCTCCATGATGACCTGGGGCAGCGGACACCATGCAGGAAATTCCTCATGGGAGCCAGGGTGGTGGTGGACAGCCTGTGTGTGGGACCAGCCCTGCTGAGGAATGGAATGGCTCTGGTCCTACTCCTTTTTCTCCTTACAGGATCAGAAGGACTGCTGTCCTGAAAGGTCCTTTCACTTCACGACACTGTTTGTTATTCTGGTTTTAGCTTTGGAATATTTTCCCCGTTGCCACTTGTGTGACATCGTCCCCATTTTTATAAGTAGAAGTTGTCAAGTTCAGAAATATCATTCCCCGCTTTGCTCCAATGTGGTTCTAAAAGCTTCCTGATTAATCAGGTCTTTGGAATCCTCCTGGCCCAACCCTCCTAACTCATTGGAAACTCATCACTGCAGCAGGGCCACGTCTAAACTGTTGTCCCTAATGTTCATTTTCCTGCCCTTGCTATGTGTTCAGCCCAAGCAGTGACATCAGTGGGATATTTTCTCTACCTCGGACAGGCTGCCTGCTCCGGGAAGAAGAGCTTCCATTTGGCCTGGCTGCCTTAGTTAAAGTGGATCAACCCAACTATTTTGTAGCTAAGCAGTTCTCCAGTCTTCATAAAAAGAAGAGGAAGAATAGCAAAGTATTCCTCTAGGTTTTGCCAGGAAAACATTAACTCCTCAGGTCTTATCTAAATGCTTGCTAAAGATAGAACCAGAGCAGACAGATTTAAATAGCGGGAAGATGACTCTTAGTAAATGAGAAAACTATCAGATCCTAACCGGAGGGGAGCCAGGGAACTTATTTCTTTGGAAATCAACCTAAATTGTTCAGGTTGCCCCAAAGCAGCAGTGAAACAGATCAGAGCTCCTCCTTGAACTTCTCTGAGTTTAAAAATAAGTGCACAATTATTGCAAATGTGTGCTGAAACAAATTATAAAGTGTCAAGAACACTTAAGCATAAATTATTGTATCATGAAACTTAAGAACTTCCACCCAGGATTGATAGCTCTACACTGTGTCTGTGATCACAGTCTTAGAACTAAAAAAACCCCATTGATATTAAGGCATATTTCAGCACCATCAGCCACTAAGAGACAGGCAGGCTTCTCGTTGGCTCCTCACGTTGGAGGAAGCACCAAGTCCAGCTGTTTGATTACCAAATACGTTATAAGTTATTCACTTGAAAAATAATTATTAACCACCATTATCTGTGTGATAATGTATCAGTATTTGATAATGGTGTTAGCAGCTAGCAGTCTTGAGTGTGATTGGACTCATATAAACACACCACAAACCTGAATGGATAAAACAACAGTTAGCACTCCTGGTGACCTGCCAAGCTATAAGAACTTCCACCCAGGATCGATAGCCCTACACTGGGTAGGGCTTGATGATCTCTGTCATGAGATAAGCTGTCAAATGAAGGATAAATGATCAGGGTAGGAAGCTGTCTGTCTCTGTGTCCTGGCCTGGTTGTGACCTCCATGCCGGCCTTAGCTGGATGATCTGGACATCTTTGCGTACTCCCCCAGGGAATGCTGAGAAATTCTAGATGCTCAAGGAGGGAAACTCAGTCTTCTGGTTCCTGCCTCAGTCAGAGCAGGCGAGATGGGTCTATCACTGGAACTCAAATCCAGTCCTAGATTTTCCTCTTCCTTTCCTCGTTAAGTGTGGTGGGAGATTGTTGAACTACTGAGTAGAGATCAGGGAGTCTGGAGGAGACACGTTCTTTCTACAATATCACTGTTTTGTGCCTAGTGCTGCTTTTGTCTGTATGGGACGATGGGAGAACTATGAGATGTGTCTGTTAATCTTAGGAAGTTTAATATATCGATATTGTATGCCCAGTCTAATATTTATATACAGTGTAGCTGATGTGTATAAAAATAGGTTAGACTTTTGAAATTAATGTAAGAAAATGTTACAAAGTACTTACTGCGTGCATACTATACCTAAGCTGTCTTAGGAGAGACAAGAATATAGCAATAAGTAATATTAACGAAAAAAACTTATTCTTTGCAGTATACATATAACCTAGCAGATGAGATAAGCAAAAAAATGAACAATAAATGTATAATATAATGTCAGATAATGAAAGTACCGAAAATAAAAAGGAGGATAAGAGACAGAGTGGTATTTGTGG